CAATGTTTTTTTTTCTGGCACAACACCGTTCATGCCCATTAAAGAACTTATTTCTGTGTAGATTTTTCTGAAAAACGTTGATTAAAGGCACAAAAAATTTTATTTTTCTATTACCACGGACTCTTAAGCTAAGGAAATAACTAATCTTTGGCGGCCATTTTCTCACTAATTTTACCTCTGAAAACAGGTGACCCCACCTCCTTCATTCTCAAATATTTCGACTTGTATTCAATATAAATGGATGTTTTTTTCATCCAAATAAAGACAAGTGAACAAGCTTTAAGATGGTACCAATAACTCTACATGTCCAAAAATTGACGAGAGCCTGATCCCACCACGCTGCCTCACATATGTTCTTACTTAAACTAGTTTCTGGCCGCCTAGGTCAAAGTCCTCCTCCTAAATGTGATCTAGATTGTGTCAAAAGAGGCGTTAAAAGCACCAACTTTGACCAACCAGACAAGGAAAAATCTAACACTAATTAACTTAACTTACCAAGAAAATCACTCGGCGCACAAATCGTCAGCTAATCCAATGACCAATGACACTGCGCCGATCTTAATCCAGGGGTAAATCCATCAAGAATAATCCACGACTTGCAGTTTCGCGTTTAGAATTATTAGAAAGCAAAACACAATCACAAAGAAAAAAACAGTGAATGGTTGGTGGGTGCACTGGGCGGGGTGATTTGCTTGCTTCTCAGATTTCCTATCAAGCATCTATAGTTGTTATCACCCCTCTTTCCTATCGGCGTGTGTTACTCTCTTGCTAAAACACCTCTAATTTTGGGCACGTGTGTGACCTAATTGTGTTGCAAGGGAAGTAAAACTCTTACTTGTTAAAACTAAAAGAAAAACAATTGTGAGTCAGCATGGGGCAATCGGGCGCTCGTCAAAATAACGAAATCGGAGAAACAGGCATTTTCTGCCAGTTTGAAATTTTCAATCAAATTTTTACTTTTTGACCATGTTTTTGACTTAAACCTCTTGCGTGTCCATATAAAAACACATTTCCTTGTGAATTTTACTGAAAAACATTGATTAAAGGCACAAAATATGTCATTTTTCAGATATAAAAGACTCTTTAGCTATTGGGGTTACCAAACTTTGGCGGACATTTTCTCAGTAATTTCATTACAGAATTCAGGCGACCTGACTCCCTTCAATCGCAAATATCTTGAGTTCTATTCAAGATAAATGGATATTTATTTCATCTTAAGCAAGGCAAATAAATCAGCTTTCAAATGATACCAATAACTCCATGATATGCCCAAAAATTGACAAGCGCCTGATTCCACCGCGTCGGGACACAATTGTCACTGTGAGGATTGAAGCATCGACCAACTAGCCATCCGGACACAAATTTAGATGGAATAAATGAAATTTTATTTTTTGTCTTTTTGATACGAATGGTCACTTTCATTTCTCTCTCTCTCTCTCTCTCTCTCTCT